TTTTTTTACAGCAGTTTCCTTGCTTTTGCTTGATATCTCTTGAGTTTCTACGATTCTTTGGACCCGTCGCAATTTATTCCCCCAGCTTATTCTGGTTTTTCGTTTCTTCCTGCTCAGGTGTGGTGCGGCAGTTTTCACGTCTACTCCGGCTTGCAAGTTCCCGGCGCCGTCAAATGCCTTCAGAAGCGCAACAGTGCGACGAGCAGTTCTACCACCAGCCTCACTTAGTGACGCGCGTCACGTTCCTCTTTTCCAAGATGGAGAGACAGTCCATTCACGGTCACGGACCCCGCTGTATTTTAAAAAATATATACAATATATATTCTTTTTTTCATTCCAGGTTTCGTCTATCCAAAGTTGGCAACTTTAAGACGGGTGGACTTCAACTCCCAGAATCCCCCCCAGCCAGCCAGCACGCTGGCTGGCTAGGGGATTCTGGGAGTTGAAGTCCACCCGTCTTAAAGCAGCCAACTTTGGGGAGCCCTGGATTAGGCACTCGCCAAGGAAACTTCAAAGGGGTTAGCTGGAAGATATTAGATTATTTAGATCGGATTGTAAAATGGCGCCCTCGCTGGATTTTAATCCCAGGGTTCCCCTCGGTTATCCGGTGCTATCAGTGGGATTCGGGATGGCGCCTCTCGCGTAGCACAAAAGCTTGGTTGGGGGGGAAAAAAGAGACAACAAAAGCACTGTGCATTCCCCACTCTGGTTTTCTGCCACCCCACCCCACCCCAAAATTTTCCCCAAAACTCCAGTTGCAGAGAGCAAAATTCTGCAAAACGAGTCAGGCTTTTTTTTTTTTTAATTTAGCCTGGATTAAGAATGAATTGCTAAGCCAGTCCAAAGTCTTTTTTTTTTTTTTTTGGGTGCTTGATTTTGGAAAAGGAGGATATTGCTTCAATTAATAAACAATGGATTTGGTAGCCATTTTTGCTGTCGGTTTGCGAAAGCTAGGTTATCACTTCGGAATGGCCTCGAGTCTCCGAGAATAAACTAGTCCTCAAGAACAAATTTAAGATTCTAGTTCTCAAGAATAAACTTTCTAGTCCTCAAGAATAAACTTAAGATTCTAATCCTCACGAATAAACTAAGGTTGTCCTCCAGAATAAGCTAAGATTCTAGTCCTCGTGTTTCTGAATAAAAGGCTGCCTAGAAAGGAAATCAGAAACTGTCGTACACTCAATCAGAGTTTGCGGATATTTGAGAGCGTCCGCCATTTTGAACAAGGCAACAGGTAGTCTTCAAACTTACCGCTGTTCCCTTAGCAACCGTTCGCTGGGGAATTCTGGGAGCTGGAGTCCACGCGTCTTAAAGCGATCAAAGCTGGGAAAGCCTGCTTTGGGTGATAAAGTCCATGTTGTTTCCTTGGCAGCTCCATCAAAGGGGCTTGTAATTTTGTTCCGTGAAGCTTTTCCAATTTTGCAGTCGGATCTGGAAGCCTGCAATTCCGTGATGTCTCCCATCCAATTAGTAACCCTGCCAAATGTTGCTTAGCTTCCAAGCTCCGAGAGCATTGTCCAGTTCAGTGCTGTAAGTAAGCAAATAACTTTGTTCTAATCACAGTAATAAACATTCGAATGCATAAAATACAATAACAGAGGCAGTAATAAAAATATTAGATGCGAAAAGGTCACAACTACCAGTGTTCCTTAACTTAGAATAGTTTGTTTAGTGACTGGAACGGCACCGAAAAGAGGGATTTATGAAAATTTTTCAGACTTACGGCCGTCACAGCATCTCCGTGGTCACGTGATCAAAATTCAGATTCTTGGCAACTGGTTATACCGGTAGTCCTCAACTTCCGACCAACATTGAGCCCAAAATTTCCGTTGTTAAGTGAGACAATTGTTCAGTGACTTTTGCCCCACTTTATGACTTTTCTTGCCACTGTTGTTAAATTAGTGACCTGGTTGTTAAGTGAATCTGGATTCCTCATTGCTGGTCAGAAGGTTTCAAAAGGGGATCACATGACCCCGGGACACGGAATAGCCAACACTCCAGAAGACAAGCTTAAGATACAGGAGGATCTGGACAGACGTGAATACTGGGTGCTATCTAACAAAATGAAATTCAGTGGTGAAAAAAATAAGGTTCTACATTTAGGCAAGAAAAACCAGATGTACAGCTATAGTATAGAGGGTACCTTGCTCAATAGTAGTAACTGTAAGAGGGATCTTGGAGTCCTGGTGGACAATCACTTAAATAGGAGCCGGCCGTGTGCTGCAGCTGCCAAAAAGGCCAACACAGTGCTGGGCTGCATTAACAGAGGGAGAGAATCAAGATCACGTGAAGTATTAATACCACTTTACAATGCCTTGGTAAGGCCACACTTGGAATCCTGCATCCAGTTTTGGTCACCACGATGTAAAAAAGATATTGAGACTCTAGAAAGAGTACAGAGAAGAGCAACAAAGATGATGAGGGGACTGGAGGTTAAAACATATAAGGAACGGTTGCTGGAATTGGATATATCTAGTTTAATGAAGAGAAGAACTTAAAATATTTCTCGCGAAGTTTAAGGGACAGCAAAGCAAAGCCAAAAGTAAGAAACTGGATTTGAGTTATCAAAGCTATCCAGTTGCTGACTCCTGTTGAGACAAGTCCTCGACTTACAACAGTTCATTTAGTGACCGTTCAAAGTTACAACAGCACTGAAAAAAGCCACTTACGACCGTTTTTCACACTTACGGCTGTTGCGGCCTCCCCATGGTCACATGATCAAAATTCAGACTCGTAGTTACGACGGTCGCAGCGTCCCCAGGGATCACGTGATCCCCTTTTGTGACCTTCTGACAAGCAAAGTCGATGGGGAGACCGGATTTACTTCACAACCTGGTTAACTAACTTATCAACTGCAGTGATTTGCTTAACAACCCTGGGAAGAAAGGTCGTAAAATGGGGCAAAACTCAATTTGCAACCGTGGCAAAAAAAGTAGTAAAGTTCACTTAACGAACGTCTCGCTTAGCAACATAAATTTTTGGGGTCCGTTGTAGTAAGTCGAGGATTACTTGTAGGCCCACCTCAAGCCTTGGGTATTACAAAAGTGTGTCTCTTTTTTCATCCATGAGGGAGAGGAACTTACTTTTTATTTTTTTAGAAGGAGAGTGGAAGCGATCGGCTGGATCAGATTTGATCTGCTCCTTTCTGGGGAATCTGCGCAAACCCGCTTGAATGTGGGATTGCCAAAGCGGCACGACAGCCAAGTTAATTCAATGTGTTGCAATAATTCAGAAACGCATCCAAGGTTTATAGATCGGGCAGGTCAATTCGCATCGCAAAATGAGATTTGTTGGTTTGGGTTGTTGGTTTTATTGTCTCACTGTTTAACCGGTTTCTGCTCTTAGTAATAAACGTCAGACCTCTGTGTTAGTTTGCAAACACCGGCTGGTCGGGGAAGAAGTAGAGATCTAGTGGGAAAAAATACCTCGCCCTATCTAGGTTTCTGGGGAACTCATTACAGGCAGTCCTTGACTTACGCCCACTCGTTTAGTGGCTGTTTGAAGTTACACTGGCCCTGAAAAAAGGGACTTAGGTCGGATCCTTGTACTTACGACCGTCACTGCAGCCGCACAGCCATGTGATTAAAATTTGGATGCTGGGCAACCAGCATGTATTTACAACAGGGGTGCCCAGGATCTTCCCACCTCCCTCCCTTCCTTCCTTCTTCCTCTCCCTCGTTCTTCCTTCCCTCCTTCCTTCTTTCTCTCCCTCCTTCTTTCCTTCTCTCCCTCTCTCCCTTTCTTTCCTTCCTTCCCTCCTTCATTCCCTCCCTCCCTCCTTCCTTCCTTCCTTCTCTCCCTCTCTTCTTTCCTTCCTTCCTTCTTGCTTCCCTCACCCCTCCCTCCCTCTCTCCTTCCTTCCTTTCTTCTCTCCCTCTCTCTCTCCTTCCTTCCTTCTCTTTCTCTCCCTCTCCCTCCTTCTTTCCTTCCTTCCTTCTCTCCCTCTCCCTCCTTCTTTCCTTTCTTCCTTCTCTCCCTCCTTGCTTCCTTCCTTCCTTCCTTCCTTCACCCCTCCCTCCCTCCCTTTCCTTCCTTCCTTCCTTCCTTCCTTCCTTCTCTCTTTCTCTCCTTCTTTCTTTCCTCCTTCCCTCCTCCCTCCCTCTCTCCTTCCTTCCTTCGTCTCCCTCCCTCCCTCCCTCCCAACCCCTCAGTAAAATCATGAGGGAAGCCGGATTCTCTTAACAACTGCATGATTCACTTAACGACCGCAGTGATTCGCTTAACAACCGTGGCAGCAAAGGTTGTAAAATTAAGTGTGATCCCCTTACCCACCGCCTGCCTTAGCACAAGAACTTCTGTTCCCCACTGCAGTCGGTCGGTGGAGAACTATTTTGAAAGGACCACAAGATGCATAGAAATGTCGGGCTAAGGGAATTCTGGGAGTTGAAGTCCATACATCTTAAAGTCGCAGAGGTTGGAAAAGGTGCCACTTGAAACAACTGGAATCCACAAAATTGAGCTTTTTGGCATCCTAACCAGCTTACATCTTAAGATGACAAGCAGTAAATAAATAAATACATACATAAATAAGTTCGTTCTTCTACTTTTCTAGTCGGGGGCTTTTCAAAATGGAGACTTGCGGGAGCCTCATTTGAAGATCCTCCTTTCCAGTTTCTGTTCCGAAGCGCCCAGATCAAAGTTGTATTTATTTTATTCAACTCAAGGTGGTGAACATACCCAACATGACTTCTTCCTCCTATTTTCCCCACAACAACCCTGTTGAAATAGAAAGATTGGCCCAGCCGGCTTTCACGCCTAAGGTGAGACTAGAACTCACCGTCTCCTGGTAATTGTCCCAAAGTCACCCAGCTGGCTTTCACACCTAAGGTGGGACTAAAACTCCCAGTCTCCTGGTGATTGTCCCAAACTTACTCAGCTGGCTATCATGCCTAAGGTGGGACTAGAACTCACCGTCTCCTGGTGATTGGCCAAAGTCACCCAGGTGGCTTTCATGCCTAAGGCGGGACTAGAACTCACCGTCTCCTGGTGATTTACCCAAACGTACTCAGCCGGCTTTCATGCCTAGGGTAGGGCTAGAACTCACTGTCTCCTGGTGATTAGCCCAAAGTCACCCAGCCGGCTTTCATGCCTAGGGTAGGGCTAGAACTCACTGTCTCCTGGTAATTGACCTAAAGTCACCCAGCCGGCTTTCATGCCTAAGGCGGGACTAGAACTCACCGTCTCCTGGTGATTGGCCCAAAGTCAGTCAGCTGGCTTTCATGCCTAAG